TTTTTTTTTTTTTTTTTTTTGGCAGTACCAGGGATTGAACTTAGCAATTCCATTTCCTTCAGCAGCCAATGCTCAGTGTTTCTGCCCACAGCACTTAACAGACTTCGCGGCCAATTTTTAAAGAGAAGTAAAGTAATGGCAAGTCACTAAACTATGAGGAAGGAGAGCGTGTGTCCAGCAGCAGCCCTTCTCAAGACTGATGTCAGATTTACGTAAACACCCCATTTTCCAAGCCAGTTATGGAAATGCGTCCTCACCAGGAACCCACAGCCCAGAGAAGCCGAGGACCCCTCCACCCCCGACGCGCCTGGAGGAGAGGAGCTCTCTGTGTCGGGAGCGCTGCCTGGGAACCCAGCCCCCTCCCTGGGCAGTGGACCTCACCCTGTTTGGGGCAGCACCTGCAGGATGGTGGCATCTGCCCTGCCGGTCTCCTGGAGGCGTGAGCTCACCCAGGGCCTCCATGCGGCCAAGGTCTGCCCCTTCCTCGGGACGCCATCAGGGTTGGGTGTCCTGTGAGTCTCAGAGCCCCAGAAACGTCTGGGAAACACCACGGACAGTTACAAAACGTACAACACTACTAGTGGGAAGACCCCAGGTAGCACTGGCTGTGCGGATGACAGGTGTTCACGCCGATTCCTGCTCAGAGATCCACACTTGCAGAGCCGACTGCCAGGGCCCCACCACCCTTCGTGTCTGCCCCTACTCCTGGCGGTCACGCTTCACCAAGTCCCCACACGGACCCTCATCGTGCTTCCCGGCCGGCAGTCCCTGGGAACCGCAATGGCACGCCTTCCACAGAGTAGTCACGAACCAGGGGCTGCAGTCCAGGGTGGAGAAGCCAACGGCCCTCGGCCCTCCCTCAGGAGGCTGGAGACGACCTAACCGCCCGCCACCGCCACCACCAGGGAGTCGGTCTCAAGCTCTGAACTGTGTAGGGACAAAAGCATGCAGACCGCGGCGGCTGGCCTGGGAAAGACTAATCAAGGCACCACAGCCCCACACTAGGAGCCGCTTTTGTCCTCCGGCACCAGCAACGCTTCTTCGAGGCAGGGAGCAGGACATGCGCAGACCCCAGACTCCCACACCCGCGCTAACAACGATGACCCTGCCAACCCTACAGCCCAGCTGTGCGTGCTGTTTCCGGCCAGGGCTCTGCCCCCATCCTGTGTCTGGTCAACAACCTAAGGGCTTGCTCAACCCGACCCTGGAGAAAAGTGAATCCCGGCTCCTACTATTCTGTCATGTGTCCCTGAGAGAACCGGCGAGCAGGTCCATGGGAGACTCAAGTAAAACACCCAGCCCGCTTCGGCACCGACACACCACCGGGGGCGAGCAGAGGGGAGAAAGATGGAGGCCACAGCTCCCTCGTCTCCAACAGCAAGAGGAAACTAAGTGCACACCCCAAGCCAGCTGCAGCTAAGTCCCAGACCCCTCCAGAGGACAGCAGTCCTTTAACTCGAGTATCAGTGTGCTGTCCACACGGTTTCCCACTTGTGTGTCTGGTTCCTTGGCTGGTTAGTTAGCCACAGTTGTTGCATTGTTGTTCTTTTTGCCCCAACTGAACAAGTAGCTAAATTTCAAATCAGACACAAAAGCAGATGAGCTTGGGCAATCTGAAAGGAGCAGCAGCTGCTGCAGGGAGGAGCGGGCTTCCAGTCTCTGTGTACCTGACCGATGAGTGTTCTGGAGCTGGACTCTTCCTCCCACACACAAAGGAACTCCTTCCGCCCACTCCTTCCGCCCGCACCTGAGTCCACAAGGAATTCTACACAAGTCTACACCAGGGGCCGTATCTATCTGCCAACAGCCCCGAGCATGCCAAACTATATGACTGCAGACCTGAAATATTCAAGTAGCTCTAAATTATTTATCCTTGAGGAAGAAACCAAATTTCATGTGCTTTGAAATGAACATCATGAGCAATCCCTGAGTAGCATTCATGCTATGTGAATCTGGATAGAAAGTGTACAAGTAACATGGGAAAATACTTCATTAATATTTCAGACACCAAAAACACAGGATGTTCTTCAAGTTTTATAAGGGAGGGAAATGCCCGTGTGAAAGCTCAGCACGGAAATTCTCCATCTATCACTACCCTGCTTTTTGAAAAAAATCAAGCTAGTCCTCCTGATTCTAACAGATGCAGTGAAGGTAAAGATCTCTTCTGAAAGATCACCCATTATTGAGATTCTGTTTAAATTGTATTTAAAAACAGAAGGCCAAGTCTGGGAGGCTGAGGCCGGAGCACCACAAGTTTGAGCCCAGCATGAGCAGTTTACTGAGTTGGCAAGCCTTGGTCTCCAAATCAAAAAGGGCTGGGGATGCAGCTCAGTGCAGAGGCCTGGAGTTTAATCCCCAATACCGCAAATGGATAAGGCCATCCCCCAAAAAGAAAACTACCACTTCAAATATAAAATCTGCAGCAGAAAGTATTTCTACGTGACATTCAGAGTTCATAAATTCCTCCTTTGTCCAACTTTGGAAGTAAATTCTATTAATTATAAATGCACTGTATTAGAAAACTTCAGTTTTATTTTACTTCTACTTCTCACTAGTCTCCAATTAAACAAAGGCTGACTGTGCATTGCTAAATGCTGCCCAGAAGGGCACAGGAGATGGAAATATAGAAGTGCACGTCGTCCCCAAGACCACCAGGCTCAGCGATGGGCAGACACAGGACACAGTCACACTGACAGCCATGACCTACAGCAGTGCAGGGACGCACAGCAAACCCAGGGAGGAAAAGCTGCACGAGGCAAGGCCAGAGGAAGGCGGGCAAGCTTCCCAGAGTCCCCTCTGGCGGTGGTGCCCGGATGCACTGTGACCCACGATGAGCCGTGGGACAGCACATGTGAAATGATGTCCACCAGGGACATCTGGGTGCTGAGCCCTGGGTGCCTGCCAGGGGGTCACAGAGGCTCCTCCTCCTGCACACACGGACACCTCCACTCCCAGAAAGAGCCAGGGTCCGGCATCAGGCATGCCGTCTGCCCAGGGTGGATGCAATGAGCACCCTTACCCAGGACGGTGGTGAGTGAACCCCCAGAACCCCATCTGCAGCCACACACCTTCCAAGGACAGGGGCCCTGGGCCTGCTGCACTGTCTGTCCAGCTCTCTCCAAAGTCCACCTTCCCTCAGAGCACTTGGACTATGCCATCCCTCACTGACCTCCTCACTCACACGGCTCTCTTAAATCCTACTCTCTTCTACTCTCTGCCACTTCCCTCACTCTCACATCAAATGTCTGGCATCATTTTGGTGGGGTCTCAGTTCACTCTTCAATAGTGGGACACACTTGCTTTCATCTGTAAAGGACTCACTGGATGAGAAATGCTCAACTATACACAATCAGGAAATGGACTTGTCGGGTCAGGACAGTGCTGCACGCAGGGCCGGGATCCTCCGGAAATGGGGGAGCCCAGGGCCAGTGGCACTGATGGGCAGAACACCATAAAAGCTCGAGGTCCCCAAGCTGTGTTGCTCGCTGAGACCCGAAGGACCCGCCAGGACACAGTAGGCAGCAAGGCCCGGATTCACTGGGGCAGGGAGCACAGGGGACAGGCGGGAATCAGGCGGCACTGGCCGGCCACGGCGGGAACAGGACTACACAGTCAGGGACTGCCCGGCCCTGGCACAGCTGACATTTCAAAGCAGCCGCGAATCAGTGTTAGGGACAGAGCTCACGTTCTGCACAGCTCACCTGCTCGGGCGGCTTCAGACAGCAGCAGTCGGGCCACGCTCAGGGCTCCAGCCTCCCTGCCACACACTGGAGGCTCTCCCTCTCTGCGGTCTGGCTGCCTAGGGACAGCTCCTCACACCGGCCTCTGGGCCCTGTCACTCCTGCCCCAGCAGCTTCCCCAGGCCGCGGCTCGCCCCATGCTCCAGCCCCTCACACTGGGTGTTCTTCCAGGCACAGGCCCCAGTGACTGCTCCCCTTCCTCGATATCAGGAAATGACACCCACGCGCACCTCCACGCACAGACTCTGGGCAGACGCTCCTGTCTCAAGCGCACCACGCCCAGGGAAACCACTGGTCAGACAGCAGCGCCGGGCTGTTTTCCTGAGAGGTGCATCCTTCTGCATTCCCATCAGTGACGGAGGGAGCTGTGCGGCCGCGCAGGCCTGGCACTGGCTCACGCGCTTCAGTCTGAACTCACCCGATGGCCTGGGATGGTGAACATGGGCACATGCATGGCTGGGTCACTTCTACAGATTCCCTGGGAAACGCCTGTGCTGGTCCCTTCCTCGCTTCATACAGGCTACCTCTCTTCCTACTACTGATCTGCGGGGGCTCCGGGTCCCAGTGCCTCACTGGATGCATGATTTGCAAAATTCTTCTATCTGGTGGGCTATCTTTTTACTTTCATGATGTTATCTTAACATAAATGGTTTTAATTTTGATGAAGTCCAATATACTAGACATTCATACTTTTCACATCATAGTTTAGGAAACACTAACTCATCCATGGCCACGAAACCTTACACACAGGGTTTTTAAGGCCTTCTTGGTCTGTTTTACGTTATTCTCCAGCTCACACAGGACATGAGAGAAGAGTCCAACTCCTCTCTCTTGCACAGACATCTAGCTGCCAAGGAACCACTCGCTGAAAACACAAACAAAAAACTATTCCTTTGCCACTGCTTTGCCTTCGCGCCCTCACCGGTACTCAAGGGACCACAGATGTAGAGGTGCTCCTCCGGCCCCACTGTTCCACCCTCCCCAGGTCAGTTCCCACGCCGGCGCCGCACTACCACCTGCTTTGTAGTCAATTCTGAAGCAGGAGTGAGTCCCCCAACTCTGTCCTTTTGCAGAATCGTGCTTCTGCTGAGTCCCTGTGAACTTCTGCATTTTCCTGTGAACTTGGGGACTGGTTTGTCAGTGTCCAGAGAAGCAGGCTGGGATTTTGATACAAACTGCAGTGAATTTATAGATCAGTTTGGGGAATATTGCAGCTTTCCAACATGAAGTCATCTAATCTGTGAACCTAGGGTGACTTTCTGTGTTTTTAGGTCTTAATTCCTTTCTATGGTGTTTTATAGTTTTCAGAGTAGAAGTTTTGTATTTGCTTTATTAAATTCATTCTTATTCTTTCTCATGCTGTTATAGAGGAATTGCCTTCTAATTTTAAAATTCTTCACTGCAACCAATTTTTATACATTTATTTCATATCCCATAACTTTTGGGAACTAGTATACCAACCCCAATAGTCTCCGAAATTCTTCAGGGTTTTCTATGCATGAGTTCACGTCATCTGCAATAACGAAGAGTTTACTTCCTTCCCAGCTGCCTTCATCGCTATGGGCACAGCACTGGCTAGAATACCCAGGACAGTACTGAGCAGCAGTGGTGGGGAAAGACATTCGGGATGCCCTCAATCAGGTCAGAAAAGCTCCTTTTTGGGCTGGGGATTTAGCTCAGTGGCACTGCACCTGCCTCGCAAGCGTAAGGTCCTGAGTTTGATCCTCAGTACCGAAAATAATAATCATTAAAAAAAAAAGCTCCTTTTAGTGTGAATTTCCTGAGTGCTTGTATTTCAAAAGGTATTGCTTTCTACCAAAGGCTTCTCTTATCTATTAAGACAATTATGTAGCTTTGTCTTTTATTCTATTGAGAAAACATATTACATGCATTGGTTTTTGGATTATTTTTCAAACTCAGGACCTTGTGCTTGCCAGGCAGGTGCAACACCACTGAGCTACATCCCCAGCCCTGGTTTTTGGATTCTTAAACCAACCCTACATTCCTGAAATAAATCCCAGTCATGGAACATGGTCCTTTTTATCTATCTGCTTGTGCTTTGGTGAAGATTTTGTATCTCTATTCATAGACTACATGAGCCTGTGGTATCTTCTCCCAGGATGTCTTTGCCTGATTTTGGAGCAGCGACATTTGAGATGTATTATTATTGGTGTTGTTTTCTTCTAGGGGATAGTGGGATGTCCTGTGAGTTAAAATATTTCGCAGCATCCCTGGTCTCTACCTATTAGCTGTCATTAAATAGTTTATATGTTAAATCTACACTCACAAGCAAAAACAGTCACCCTGTATTATCATTGTTTTTACAAGCAATTTTCTAATAAAAAGGCTTTAGGGTTCATCTTGGGTGAATTTTCCGTTCTTTCCTACAATTGCCAAAGCCAAAGCGTACTTGAAATTCTTACCAACGAATCTTCAACGAAAAATCATCCAAAATGACAAAAGCATTTGTTTCTGATAACAAAAAAGCCAATGCCTTCCAAATGTCCTACAGTGCTCGCTTCGGCGCACATATACTAAAATTGGAACGAGACAGAGAAGATTAGCATGGCCCCTGCGCAAGGGTGACACACAAATGGGTGCAGCGTTCCGTATTTTTAGAAGGACAGCACACGAAGACTGACCGTGCTCACGTTTCTCGAAGACTGTCCAGTCACTGCTTGTCAGGAGGGATTTATTTGCACATGGGGAAGGCCTGGTAAAGTGGTAAGTTTTAACCCTTCAGCTGCACCAGATCTAGAACTTGAATAGGGAGTGATTTCTTCTCTCACGGGAGGGGCGGGGTGTACAATGAATGTGAATGACACTTCTCATTCTTAATGCAAATCTAAATGCATCAGAGCCATAATTTTGGATACTGCATGCCATGTAATTCCGAGTCATTTGATGATTCACCTTAGAGCATTTGAAACTATATAATCAAACTAATTGCCAGCCGAGTCTGGCACCCCGCAGGGAGCCCGTACAGCCCGAGGTAGCGTCCCGTATCCGATCCTGCAGTTCAGGGAATCATGACGTGGGAACGCCGAACTTAAAATCCATGCTTTAACTGGAGTATTTTCTTAACCACTCACCTAGAATATTGTACACCTGATCAGAGTGTGTGTTCAGTACAGATGGCCATTAATTGTCATTTATAGTCCAATTTTTTATCTTAATCATAAACTGTCTAGGAATCTATGAAACTTAACTTTAGGAACAAAGCGTTGAGCAGGGTTGATATTATTTTTACACTGTTCTGGCAATCCACAGAAAGAGAAGAGCCTTAATTTTTAAAACCCATTTTAGTCACTTTATGACAATTAAAATTGTTTAATAAACACCTTTTTCCAAAGAAAAAATAAATAAAAATAAAATGTCATACATTTAAGAACTAGACTAATTCTGTCATGACTGTCAGTCAGATTTGTGCTCCTGTGACAAAATACCTAAGATAAGGAACTCATAAGGAGGAAAGGTTATCTTAGCTTGGAGCTTCACAGGTTCCAGGCCTTGGCCGATTTGCCCTGTTGCCTTTGGGCCCGTGGCCAGGCAGCACACGATGGCAGACAGTGTGTGGGAAAGGAAGCAGAGAGAGAGACAAGAGGGGCCAGCATGCGGGTCCCCCTCAAGGACACACACCCTGATGACTTCACTTCCTCCTGCAGGCCCATCTTCTAGAGGTTCCAGCTCCCCGCAAAAGCACCACAGGCTGGTGACTAGGCTTGTGACCTGTGGGCCTTTGGGACGCTCAACATCCAAGCGACAGCAATATCCACCTGCTGTCCCTCGTGTTCTAGCTATGCTGTCACACTATTCTGCTCTGGAACAGCCACACCTAAACCCTCAAAACAATTTGGGAACCTCAAATTTTCCATTATTAAAACGCCTTACTTCACCTACTCCTAAGACTCATTCCCGGAATGGTATACCTTCTTCCACCACCTCAAATTCTATTGTAAAGGCACAAAGACCTTGAAATAAATGCTTCTCAATTTTATAATACATGCAGGAATTTTTATGAACACATGCGCTGAACAAAACAATTCAAGTTGAATTCATTTTTCCCCTGACAACACAGGTCTTAAGGTACAAGTTCAAAAGTTCAGCAGCATAACACGATTATAAAGTAACACAACTGCATTTCATATATAAGGAGAATATTCACTTTTTCCAAAATAATTACTTCAAGAGGTTGCTTTCTCTTTCCAAGATGCAAGGCCTATAGACTTACTCTCCTGGAAAGGTCTTCAGAGCCAAGTTACATATCACCTGTAAAGCACCATCACTCACGGTTCAGCAGTGCCAGTCTGGCTGCCACCTGTAGCCACTCATCTTGGTTTCCAATGGCAGTCTGGCATTTCCAATTAACTCTACTCTCCAGGATCTGGAATTCCTTCCTTCTTTCATTAATTCCATATGTCACTGTCTACCAGGAGGTGGGAACACATACAAAATGAGGTCCCACCATGTTGCTTCATTATTCGCTGTTATTTTAACTCAAAATGACAGGACACACTCTTTCAGTCCCAGATCATCAACCAAACACATCAGAATCTGATTTAACAAAGCAGGGCCAGTTTCCCCATTCCAACATTAACACTTCTTTCCTTGGTGCGTCTTCCTTCCCAGGCAAGCTCTCCGTTCCTGACCGTACTTCACTGAAGCTTCCCCAGCACGAACAGAAGGCTTGCTCTTTGAGGTTTTTTTGTTTTTGTTTTTTGGTACGTTTGCAGTTCATGTAGCTTATAATAGTCTTGAGGAATGGTTACACGAAATCTTTTTGTTTCTTTCTTCTTTAAATTTTTTAATAGCCACACAGTTGGGCCTCTTCCGTAGCCTAACTGTGGGGCTCAAAACAGCATCCAATGAGGCATCACAGTACGGTGTTATTTCTACAAGTACAACCTTTCAGCCATACTAGAACACTCACAGGTTAATAGAACACCAGGTTAAAAGTTTAAGTGATTCAAACGCCACTGAGCCATCAACCACCACTTCATCCTCCTCCTCCTCCCTGGAAGAAGCCACTCCTGACCTAAGCAAGTCCGAGTTCTCACATCTTGTAGCAGTGTGGGCCGCGCCCTCCCACACACCGACTTCCAGCTCAGCTCCCTCTGTTGGTCCTAGACACTCACTGCACACAGCACGCATGTGACCCAACAAACCTATTTGCCAAAGATGGCATCTAAATGGCTGTAAACAGGACAACTCTGCCTCTGGAGAAGCATCGCTCTGTTTTATCAAACAGCACACAGAATACACCGGAGATGTCATGATGAGATTCCCAAAGATCCCCCCTTTTCCACTCTGCCCAGCACCCCAAGTCAGCGCCACCTCTCAGCTCCCTGCCGGCCAACTCTGTGGAGTGTGGAGTTGACTGACCCAGGGCCACAGGCGGACGGTGACCCCTGACATCGACAAGGACAGTGGGCGAGAAGAGAGAGGCAGGAAAATGACCCAGCTGCCATCTTCACTCTGTGCTGGTTACACTAGTGCTCTCCTGACAGCCACCGTCAGGGTGAATTTCACTCTGTGAAAAGCACTTGGGTTCACAGCGTGCCCCTTTCCAAATGTACAGTCTGTGAAATAAGAGCTAAAACCGAGAATTAGAAAAGCAGTAAAATGTTGTGAATGCTACTTCTTAATCACTTAATAGAAAGCACAATTTCATAATCAAAATATAGCAAAGTTACCACAAATACAAGTTGTACTTTAAGTTAATTAATATTTTTATTATTCTGCAGCAGTACTTCCAAAGAGTCCCTCTATGTGCTGTCCTAGGGAATTCTACCGAAAGCAGGTAAATCCTCTGAATATGATACATACCAAAGTTGAAACATTATTACTGTAACTCTCACCCACCCCTTGGACTTGAGACATCACTTACTCGGGTTTGGAGAGTATCTTTTCCAAGTTAAACTCCTTGAGGTATCTTATAATGGCAGCCAAACAGCAAATCACAGGTTTCTCTAAGTTAATGATGCCAGAAAAACTTTGAGAACCTAAAAAATAGAATGCATACCCTCATTAACATTATTACCATTATTAAAAACCGATCCTAAGGAGATGTTAGATACTACCTCCTAAACCGGCCCCTTGGAAAAAATCACAGGTGAATACAAATGACTTGGGAGAAAGGAGGCATCTTCTGATGATGGAACGAATCTTTCTTGGGAGAACAATAAAGAGTAAAGGAAATGTAAAATTCTCTATATCTAAAAATGTACCAATTAATTTAAAAAAAATAATATATATACATATATATATA